CTTAGCTATGGGAAGTCACCTGTGTGTGTGTGTTTGTGTGTGTGCACATGCACGTGTGTGTGTGTGTGTGTGTGTAACTGATAAAGCTACTCCTTAAACATCTCACTTACCTTTTAAGTCCCTTTAGGGTCACTGTAGATTGGTTCTGGCTTGATGGCATGTAGCAACAAACTATTAATTCAAGTGACTTCATTTTTGAGAGGAGCTAGCCCCCAAACCCTTCAATTACATTTAAATATTGGATGGGAAATTGATTAAATATTAGTGTTTAAAGCATAACTCTGTGAAGATTTACTCATCAGTAAGTTCCACTCTAATTCAGTGGCATGTTCTTCCCAAATTTATTTATTTATTTATTTGATTTATATCCTGCCCGTCTGGTCTATGCGACCACTCTGAGCGGCTTCCAATATAACATAAACAATTAATAAAATAACACATAATTACATAAATCTTCAAATGAGAATGTAAAAAACAAGAAAATAGAGTAAAAATAAATAAAGGAAAAATGAGAATAAAGAATCAAGTATTGACTGGAAGGAAGACCTGAATAAACATCCATGTTTTTAATTGGCTTTTAAAGATACCCAGTGTGGGGGCTGTACAAATCTCCGGAGGGAGGTTGTTCCAAATGGCCCTTGGGATTATATACTAAATATAATGGGAGGAGTGAAATATTTGGTTTAGGGTAAAGCCAGTGATTTCAATCCCAGTTTTTTTTTTCTAATGATCCTCAACAACTGTTTGTCTAGCTCCCTTCCTTTCAGTACCTCAAGGCAGTGTGTACTCATTTCACTCACCACTGCCATTTTCTTAACAGAAATTAAAAGTCAGTGACTGTCCAATGAACCTTCAATCTTAGTTCTTTGCCTGTAGCCCCGGACCACAGATTGGAGAGAAAGATCCCACATTTCTTTGAAAAATATATACACAATCAGAACAAACAAGACAACAGTGGGGATTCAAACATAAGAGTGAGGAGAATATCAAGAAGCATACAGTATTGCCACTCCCAACACATCCACTTCTTTTGTCGCTTAGGTCTCCAGTATGAAACTTTGCCTTTTGCGCACAATCTCAAAAGTCTTCTTTTGAGACATCTGTATATTTTGATACATCTATATATTTGCTTAGGATGGCTGGATAGCTCAGTGGTTTAGGTATCTTGCTGTAAAGCCAGAGGTTGGGAGTTGACTTCCCCACACTGCATCCCAGAAAAGCCAGCCTGTGTGGCCTTGCCCAAGCTGCCACGATGTCCCCAAGATGTCCCCAGAAGAAGAGAATGGGTAAGCACTTCTCAATATTCTCTATCTGAAAAATCATGAAAAGTCAAGAACTGACTTGATGATATATTATTTTCACAGAACATTCGTGATCATTAGACTAAACGTGCTCCCATCAGCCCTTCTTCAGGGCAGACTTAAGGGAATACCATGCCAAGAAAGATTTTGCCCTTGTGGAAAAAGGTTCCCTGAATTTCTTGTGCATATGCTTTTACACTGCCCATCCTATGAATAAACCAGGAACAAACTAATCTGCCCACTGCCGAATAGATTCCAGTGCTACCCTTCGAGTTGGTTAGTACAATACTGCTTATTAGACCAAAACCCTTATAACACAGCACAGGTAACAAAGTTTGTTCTAGCTGCAATGTGTAAGAAAGTGGAGTTTGTCCCAGTTACCCAAACTCTCAATGTTGTTGTTGTTTAGCCGTTTAGTCATGTCCGACTCTTCGTGACCCATGGACCAGAGCACGCCAGGCCCTCCTGTCTTCCACTCCCTCCCGGAGTTGTGTCAAATTCATGTTGGTCGCTTCGATGACACTGTCCAACCCTCTCCTCCTCTGTCGTCCCCTTCTCCTCCTGCCTTCACACTTTCCCAACATCAATGTCTTTTCCAAGGAGTCTTCTCTTCTCATGAGATGGCCACAGTATTGGAACCTCAGCATCTTGTACTCAATGTACCTATCCTCTTTTAGCCCCTCTCATTACTTTACTGCATATCTTCTCTCTGTATGGGTCATATGATCGCAATAAATCGAATTGAATATTATTATTTTATATGTTTGCCTATTGATAATGATTAGAAATGGGACATCCAGGTTAACCTGAATGGGAAAAAGCAGAGTATAGTTCCATTCTTTTGTTTTCAGATATTTTCATAGTTTTATAACAGGTACCCTCAGGTTCCAAAAGAGAGAGCAGTGATTTTCGGCACTCCCTCTCCCCTTTCCCCATTTCCTTTATAGTTGCCTGGAGTTCCTGCCTGCCTGCCCTTCATCTGGTGGACTGCCTACACTACTGAACTAAAGCTAATGAAGCAGTGAGAGGGTGACCCATCTCCCCAAATACCAATATTTTGGGATTTGGCAATTATACTGCCTTTAATGGATTTATTTCTTTTCTTTATGACTGTGATGATGATTTCTCTTTCTCATCTATGTTTTCCCCAAATACCAATATTTTGGGATTTGGCAGTTAATTATACTGCCTTTAATGGATTTGTTTCTTTTCCTTTATGACTGTGATGATGATTTCTCTTTCTCATCTATGTTTTCTATTGATGAGGATGATGATCTGATGATAAATGTGAATTTCAAAGTACTATTAGTACATTCCTAGGTCTGTGGATGATTGTTTTTTCTTTCTCATGTACCACTGCTGTTGACTACTTTTGGAGTGGATGGTTGTCTGTTGCCTTGCCCCTGCTTTTCTTTCCTTTTCTTTTTGGATCAGTTTTGAGGGTTTTCTAGGACTTAGTTGGCTCCAGCACCAGAAACCAGAATAGTAAACTATTAAGAAATAACCTGAAAGGCTCAGATAATTTCAGGTTTACCAAAAGGATCTGTAGCCTAAAACTGAAAGATGAGGCCCCGAAAGGCCCCTGAAATGGAAACAATGCAAACGTTTCCCCCCACACATCATAGATATTTGGGAATACGGTTGATTTGTTTCAAATTCCAATAGAAGATAACCTGCCCCCCCCATACACACACACTTTAATAGACTATGATTAAGCACAAGTATTTTGAATGGCAACACTTCTTCTTTCACTGCATTGAAGAAAAGTCATCTTCACCAGTCCAGGGATTTAATTTAAATGCTACAACAGACAGAGTTTTGAATAGAGGCCAATTGCCTGCATCATTTCTTTTTTCGTTTGCGCCTGAGTTAACCTATTTTTAATAAACAGGGGAATTCATACAACATCCATGAGCCAAACAATCCATTGAGATATATAGAAATATATAACATTTCTTTTTTCGTTTGCGCCTGAGTTAACCTATTTTTAATAAACAGGGGAATTCATACAACATCCATGAGCCAAACAATCCATTGATATATATATAAAGGCTTAGAAGAAACAATGTATCTCTATAAGATTTCCCTATTCAGCCTCTGATGAAGTGCCTCTATAAGATGCAGCCAAAATGGAAAGAAACAGTGATCACAAAGAAGGTATTTATAAAAATATATTTCCACAAAGTAGGAAACAATACAGGAGTTGCTTTGTTTTCTGTTTTCTGAATACAATACATGGAGTAAATAAACAAAACAGTAACAGCAAAAACAAAACAAAGAAAAGATAGGAAAAAAGTAAAGATGATTTCCATGTAATACTTCATTTTATTATACAGCTTCTATTTCTAAATGGTAAGTTCACATTACAAATTGGGGATGTCAACAGCCTCTAAGCACTGATCAGTCTGTAAACAGGTTTCCTGTGCAGAACCATGGACGTTCTAGAGGAGGGACAAAAAAAAAAAAGGCCAAGAACGTAAACAGGAAAATAATGTACACACTGGATCCTCTTGTAAAATGGTAGATAACTCGAAGCCTGTTTGATGTTTTCAAACAATGCGTAGAATTTAAGAAGTTTCGCTTTTTGTTTTGTTTTTTTAAATATTCACATGAACCAGTTTGTTTCCAGTTGTTTGTGCTTGTATCAAAACGCCAGTTACTCGCTTTATGATAAAAATGTTAAATGGTTCGATGTTAGTTTCCTTCATGAACATTTTTCACCCTTCTATCACTCACTTTCTGTTCACTACTGCTAACGTTCTCTGTGTTTGTTTTCTAAAATGTACATTTCCTTTAACATTCATTATACATAGAACATAGAATTGCAATGGTTTATTAATGGATATAATTTAGATTGCTCTCTTCCCTTATAATCTTAACCAGCAATCAATCATAATAAATAAAAGTAGTAACGGACATCAATAAAATATCTATTTCAAGGATTAAACAAATAAATTTGTTCTTTAGCAATAAAATCAGCTTTTGTTTCATGTTTGTGAGTCCATCTTCTTTAACAGATATTTCCCCCATTTTCCTACAGAAGACAAAGTAGACAATAGGAATACTCCTTTCAGAAAACAATCCCTTTTTATTTAAAAGGAAAGAGCTTTCCATTCCATCCTCTTCTCCCAGACTTTTGCAGAACTGTAGATTTTGAATCCTGCCACTGGAATGAATTAAGAACATGTGAATATTTTAAGGCTCGACACAATATTTAAAGATGACATTTAATCTGCAGTTTTTGTGGCCAACGATGACCCTATGTACAATTTGTGGTCACTGCACAGTTGAGACCAGGAGGGACTTTATCAATACTTTTAAAAAACATTTTTTTCTGCATTGCAAAGAAGACCAGATATTGCTTTTAACATTCCTTTTCTTTTTGTTTTTTAGTAGTTGTCGTCATCGTTGTCATAGTAGAAACTTTGTTGGCAACGTGAAAACAAACCTTTAGTTCCCTATGGACTGTCAGAAGATACTCCTCATCTGCAAAAATCCACAGAAGTCCATGAGATCAGATAGCATCTTCTACGTTTCATTCCCATCCATTTCACCGAAGATGATTAGAGATCCAGACTCCCATCTTCAGAGTGGCCATGTGAATATAGAATATCCAAAGACTTCTAGACACTCTACGTACTTGACTTCACATTCCACAAGACTCAGACCTCCTAATATATACTTTTGATTTATGTACTCTTTTTTTTTTTTGGTTCAACATTACAATGTAGTTGATTTTATAGATGACTGGCATTAAACTTGCCCCTAAACAAAAAGCCACATTAGTCATAACTAATAGCAGTGGCCCTAGAATATTACATGAGTGTTTTCAGTCAAGAGTGAAAAAAAAAGTTGTAATCCACTGTCAAGTTTCTTTATCGCTTTCGCCCACTGAGTAAAGTTCCCCAAGTCTTTTAAAACGGGGACCCCATTCACTGAGGTAGTCAAAATTCTGGTCTGAGTCTGAGGTTGTTGACTCTAAGGAACTTAGAGAGCCAGCTACCGAGCCTCGTCCCTCATACCCATAAATCTGAATTGAGTCATATGGGGGCGCTGTAGGATCATTGTCAGCTTCATGAAGCCTTACGCTGATAAATTCATCAACATCAACACCATTGGGAACAGGGGCCAGTCCCTGTCTGGGCATGAACTGAAGGTCAGGTTTAATATCCTTGCGGGGCAAAAATCCATTGATCCCATCAGGGTTTTGCAGAGTTGCAATATCAAAGGCTTCTGTGTCTTCTTCACCTCCTCCTTCGTCGTCATAGCGTATTATGTTTTCCCTCACGTCTTCATCATCTTTGATAATAAGAGGCTCATTTTTATGTCTTCGTAGAGTCACAAACAACACCACAATGACTGCAAAGGAAAGATCACAAGATAATCAGCCTTTGAAAGCAACCTTTCTTTGTATATAAGAAAAATTTTTGGGAGGGGGGCAGCATCTAAATGGTTATTTATTTCTACTACAGTTAGACTAAATTGTTGATTACACTTCTCCCTTCAATAACACTGAAGTCAAGCATGCTGGACCCCCATGTAGCTCAAAATAGGTATATAACTCTTATTTGTTTGTTTGTTTCGTCGTTTAGTCATGATCCAATGCCGCATAACGCCGAATCAGAGCAACACGGGGCCAGGGCACCCATTTAAAACAAGGGAGGGAGTCAAGCATGCTGGACCCCCATGTAGCTCAAAATAGGTGTATAACTCTTATTTGTTTGTTTGTTTAGTCCTTTAGTCATGATCCAATGCCGCATAGCACCGAATCAGAGCAACATGGAGCCAGGACACCCATTTAAAACAATGGAGGGGGAGGGGGAGGACACAGGAACCGGCATAAACATTTTTTTAAAAAAACTAACTGGTTCATGGGCTGGACCCCCATGTAGCTCAAAATAGGTGTATAACTCTTATTTGTTTGTTTGTTTAGTCCTTTAGTCATGATCCAATGCCGCATAGCACCGAATCAGAGCAACATGGAGCCAGGACACCCATTTAAAACAATGGAGGGGGAGGGGGAGGACACAGGAACCGGCATAAACATTTTTTTAAAAAAACTAACTGGTTCATGGTTCAGATTTTTTGTTTGTTTGTTTAAAAGATGGTTTGTGGTTCATGGATACACCAGAAACCACCATTTTTGTGGTTCATGCCCATCTATACCCAAAGATTTGTCGCCAGAAAATGGAGCCAATGTGGCTTGTGGCACAAGTAACTCATGACTGGGACAGAAGGATACTCCTTCCAAAATTTTGAGGTGATGTGCCCTCCTATTTCTAGTCCACAAACTGCTCTTGACCGGTGATAAAAGCTCCCAAGAGCTAATGTCCAAGATATACAGATAGCCCAAGGTGTGAGAACCACTATGACAGAATCTATTATTCTATTTTTTGAGCAAGGCCAATTGGATTCCTCAGGAGAGGTATATGTCGTGTTCAGTGGAGGCATACATATGAGATCAGATGACAGATCAAAATCAGGGGGTAATTATTGTATTCAAGCTTTGCATATCATGATTCTCATAAGCAAAGCCTGGATATAACAATCTTCTCTTGATTTTTAACAATAATCTAATACTCAAACATACGCCTCCATTGAACACGATGATTTTGCTTACTTCTCATAGTGTTAATTTGGGATAGATTTCTCCTACACGAACTTGTCTTGTCGTTTTCTAAAACCATCTAAAGATGTGGTCAGCACCATTTTTTTTTTTACTGTAATGAGTTCCTTAACTGAGTGGAACAGTGCTTTTTATTTTTAGTCTATTGCTAACAATCACAATTTACCAGCATATCTTTGTAAAAGGAACAAACACTCCATTAGACCAGATAATAAGCCATTTCCTCAGTGATAATTCATGGCATGCTTGCTTCTACTGACAGTTATTCCCATGGGTGCTGGAAAGATCATCACTCAACTAAGAAAGGGAATAGAAGTACCACTATTCAGCTTATTTTAAAATGTTCTGAGCTGTGTAAGGATGGAATTACTGAAGGTGCAGAAAGATACTTTTTTTTTTGTTTTTATAACACCCAAGCTAGCATGGTCAGCGATCCCAAGATTTTGGAGGTTCATTTCCAGAAAAAAAGTAATTATACAAATGAAGCTTCACTGGCTTGTGTCACTTCTGTGCCATACATGCATTCTGCATGCTGAATAATGTATAATCCAAACATACTTATGCAAACCTGGTTTTTATCAGCATAAGCCATGGAAAATAGGTTGCAGGCACATTAAGATCCCAGACTATACACAACACATAGTGTTATAAACCACAGCACATTGAATGTGGTGATTTCAATAAGCCTCTGTTGTGTTTGGATGGATGCCATAATCCAATCCAATATTGACTAGAAGCAATGACTCAGGGCAGATGACCTAGGGAGGAAAATATTTTGAATCATCCTGCTTTTCTGGTTTGAACCATTCCTCCTTGTGGAAATGTATATATCTAATACATATACATATATGAAATGCAGGGAGACACAGAAGTACTTTAAAATTAATGAAAACTTTGTGGGGTCATTAACTGTTGGTATTGCTTGTTGGATTGTAGCAGACAAAGGCAGGAATCCAAATCCCCACTTTTCCTCCCAGATAGTTTGCAGGATTAGGCACCCTGCCGTCTCAGTGGAACCTCAGGCACTGCACAGTCCCAAAGGAACTGTGAACATTTCTGAGTAGTGGATACCTAGAAAACCATGAGGGGCACCATAAGTTGGAATGAACAAGTTGGCATGTAATTAATTGTGTGTGCATGCGTGCATGCGTGCATGCTTGCATATGTGTGTATGACCCTTGTATCTTTCCTTCAATAGGTCTAACAACAGTCCCTAAGCAGCTTGTTTGATTTTGGAAACAACATAGTAGGGAAAAGTCAACATATGCCCATCTCCTAGTGCAACTGCTCTGCTTAAACTCCTTAACAGCTGTTTTAGAATGAACAAAATGGATCAGAAGATCAGAGCACAGTGTCTTGCCTTGTTTCTGTTTTGTGTTCTGTAATCACGCCCAAAGTTTTTCCACTAGGACACGGTGCCCGTTTTTCTGTGAGTTTACTGCCCATGATACCCTGCAGTTGTCAGTCAAGCTAACTCTCCCAACTATATATAGTCAAAACCTGATGAGGCTTTTGTTGCTTGCTACTCCATAAAAACAGAGGTTTATTAAATAAATGTTTGGCAGTATAGATGGATTGTGGATTTGGTTGTGAAGCCCTGGCCTACAGGGATATGACATAACCATTTTTTTATATCCAGATGCAAATAGCTTCCTAGAATTGAATGGCGTGGAATGGCAGCATTTTTCCCCTTCTTCTAATTTTTGGCTTTCAGACTTGGGGTGACCATCTGCTTTCACTTGCATGTCAGAGTGATAGAGATGCTGCTGTAACAATTCAACCACTTTACTCTTTCACCACTAAAGAATTTAATCGCAGGCCAGTTTGTCTCTGTTGTTTAATTTTTCAAGTTGGAGAGACACCTTAATCTGTTTCAGGAAAAACAACAAAGAATTTCATGGCGCACCTTGATGACTAACACTATATGCTGTCAGGGTCTGCAGACCATTTCATCAGATGGCCGCTGAATCAGATCAGTGATTCTTTAGCTACTGTAACAGATGAGCCAGAAATTCAGGGACCACCCAAGACATTTTCTTGCCTGAAGCAGCAAATCGTGCCTGCTCTCACCCACATCAAAGTGCAAGCATCCGAAGCTGGCCAAATGATTTTGATATGTGAGGGACAAAATCCCGCAAACTTTTCTCATCTCTGACTGTGAAATAACAAATTAAATATGCTTTCATGGCATTGCAAATCTACTGCTTGAGGCAGTTACACCGTTTGCCTGGTGATAAGGCCATCCCCGTTGCAATACATGATGCAGTCTTACACTGAGGCAGAACACCCCTCCAGTTGAGGCTGTATTTTCTACTCCAGCTGGCAATAGCTTTCCAGAATCGTGATCAACCTCTTGGGAAATTTCACATGGAAAAGCATATACTGTACTCGTAAATGATGCTCCCTTGTCATCTGGAAGGCTTTCTGGCAAGTAAATGAATACATACCTAGCAGCAAAATGATGCAGGCTAGGATTGCTATTAATGCTCCCATGCTGAGACCGATTGGGAGGACGTAGGCTTCAGCACTGCAGGACTGGGCAATGCCCTCGTTGCTGCAACCACAGACCTTAATGGTAAGGGTGCTGGTGCTGCTCATTGGAGGATTTCCACTGTCGCTGATGATGATTGGTAGAAAATAGACTTCTTGCTTCTGGCGGCTGAACCCATTACGTTTTGTCAAAATGTTAAGGGTATTATCTGGAAGAGAGGGAGAGAAAAAAAAACATTTCAGATAAAAGCTGTAGAAAGCTTTTACGAGAACTGAGCCACAGTAACTTAGTAACGTACCGCGTCTGTTCTTCGTTTTCACGAGCGTAGAAATGCGCCTTCAATTATTTGTCAGTTCTGGGCAGCTGATGTGTTATTTTAATACCATCTTCTGCATCACATTTCACTCTCTCTCTTCCTTCTTTTTTTTTTTTTTTACAGTTTTTGCCCTCAACATCTCTAGCTTCATTTAGAAGTACACAGAGTATTTGAAAGATCACTTCCTTCCCATGCGAATCTGATGACCCCCCCCATCATGTTTGCTTCCAGAAGTATTGCTGTATGTCCCAGTATTCTCAGGAATCATTTTGTTGGGACATAGGACGCTCCCTCCCCCATTCTTGGACAGTTTATAAAATACCTGCCCTCAGGAGGTACAGCTGACTTCCATCTGTATGGATGAGATGTAAAAACCTTTCTGTTTAGCCAGGCACATTCTTTAAATGGGGTTCTGTCTGCAACTTGGTTATGCTTTATTGAATTCCTCTAAGTTCTGAGGATTTATGCTTGCATTTCTATCTGATTTATAATCATAAACTACTTTTTAAGAACAAAAACCTATTCTGTATATAAATTAACCTGCACATTATAATTAGTCAGGCTGCCATTCTCTTGTATTCAAAAGTGGAGTTGCACATGATTTTTTTTTTTGCCAATTGGGCCATGTTGGTTTCCTTTAACAAGAAGAAACCAATGAAACCTGGAGCCAGTGGCTCCCACTTGTGGGTCTCCAGATGTTAGACTACAGGCCACACCATTACTGACCATTGGCCAAGCTGTAATGAGATTCATAGGGCTTGGCATCTTTTCTCTGCCCGATAGTCAAGTCAGCAATGACTCACGTTAAGACTGGCTCTTCAACTTAAGCCCCTTTGGGGCATAAAGCAGGTTCCTCTGCATGCTGCAAAATGGTCAGACATGTTCCCCAGAAGATACAAGTAGTCTTTGAAGGAGCAACATTTTATGCAGGTGAGGCATAAGGGTGGTTGAAAGGGTCTTGTGATAGGTGTAGCCCTCCACGTTTCTGGAGGGAAAGGCAGTTGTCCACCCTTGAATTGAAAGGTACATTAACTTTAAGTGACTTTATTCTAGAAACATGTCAAGGCCACACAATTGGTACTAACTGAAATTCTAGAAAACTTCTAAATATTCAATATTTTTTGACATAAAAGATTAAACTTTTCACCATTGATGTAACCAAACCCTCCATTGTGTTCCATCCAACATGAATACCAGACATTTGACAGGAAGCAGAAAGACTGAGCAGAATCCTGTTGCTGATTTATGTTTCTCTAAAGAAAATCCCATAAACCTTGAAAACTAATTGACTCTGATTAATGAGGTGCTGACTTCATTTCTGGGAGTACACCCGATCAGCCAATCACCAATCAGATGTGTGCCCAGGAATGCATTGCAACCATTATCTTGTTAATGAGTGGCAATTTATTATTCAGACTTACCTAATTTACCTTATGTAAATATAGACTGGCATTAGGACTCTGACCATTTTTATTTGGATGGAGGGGCAAGACTTTTACCCAAATGTGATTTTTCTCTGCTGATTCAGACAGCCAGAACACATAAGAACAAAGAATAGTGTCATTTTATAATTATATTTCAGTGGTCCAATAAAGGTATCTCTCAATTCTGAGTCTAGGTGCTGTTCATGGACTACACAACTGGTTTTCTTTTTCATTTTTCCATGAGAAACACCATGTATAGCCACTCAGGTCAGAGGTCAGGATCTACCAAAGAGGGAGAAGAGAGATCTGCTGCTAAAGAGAGGGTACACAACAGTGAGGACTTCCTCCAATTGTGTGGTGATACTCACAACATGCATCACACGGCTGTTTTTTCCCCTAGCGAGCCATTTAAATGTAATCTCTATCTCTTTTGATATGGAGATTCCCATATTTGTTGGTGGTTCTACTTCCAACAACACAAGCCTCTTGGGCATTGGCAATAAACAGTTGCGAATTCACCAAATGACTAGTTTGCATAGACGGAGAGAGACCATTGATCCTACATCCTCTTAGGTAAAACCTGATACTGTCACACCTCAGGTTGATTTTCAGGTTTTCCATCTTGGAAATTTATTTTTGCTATAGATCCTGAGGGGTCAACATCTAGGCAGAACAACAATTCTTAGACTTTTCTGTTTCATTTCCCAGCTCTGTGATACCCTATCGAATCATAGAATCATAGAAAAGTGAAGTTGGAAGGGGGCCTACAAGGCCATCAAGTCCAACCCCCTGCTCAAGGCAGGAGTATCCAATGCAGCTGGATGGGATGACAACTTCTGCAGTACCTGGAAGCTCACACTTGAAAATTTCATTTTAGTAGTCCAAAATGTTAATATTGTCTAAGTGAAGAAAATGATTGTACATAATTGGCCACTTCATAATTGGCCGTTCCTTCTGTTTCCATAGAGGAACCTTACGGCACAGTGATTAAACTACAATACTGCAGTCAGGACTCTACGCATGACCTGAGTTCAATGCTGAAAAATTCAGGTAGCCAGCTAGATCCAACCTTCCACCCCTCTGAGTCAATTGAGTAACCAGCTTGTGGTGTGTGTGTGGGGGGGGGGAGAGGAGACAATGTGTAGCCTGCATAATACAAGAATGATAAATTTCCCAAAGAGTACTTTAAACACTATTGGGCAGTATATAGGCCAGGGGTCCCCAACCTTGCATGAACGAGCGTGCGCACATGTGCAAGCAGCAGCATGGCACTTGTGCAGGCATGCATGCAAAAATGGCAGTGTGGTGCTTGCGTGGGCATGAATGTGCAAACAGGCTGTGCGGGGGTGAGTGAGTGCGGGGGGTGGTGCGGGAGGTCTGTCTCTGCAGCCCAGTCCGGCTCAGGCCATGGACCGGCACCGGGCCGCGGACCAGGGGTTGGGGACCTCTGATATAGGCAACACACTTTGCTTTTTTCCCCACACCTTTCAGGCACAGTTGGCATCTATAAACCACTGAAAGCTAAGCTCATGCAATACAAGTCTGTCTTTCATTTACTACATGACATTTAGGCAACACTGCAAACACTCCAGTGAACAAAATGCTGCTTTACCTAATGGCAACTACTGTGAGTTAGCTGTAAATCAAATAACTAAAAATCCCTCCAGTAATTACTGAATTCACTTTCCTACAAATAGTATATGGTTCCACCTACCGTTATTTTAGCTAACCTTTGATTACTGGAACACAGTTTTTCTACCCGCCCCTTTCCATCTATTAGCAATTATTTCAGTGCCGAAAGTACTTCAATAATTTAAGACACTTTGACTAATTTGCTTACTTAACAAGTCATCTGAGTTCTTTATTGCTTTATTCAAAAGGCTGTTTTGGAATAGAGTGGCCACTTGTATCCCTACACACATACACCAAAAGAACACCAAAAGAGAGGCTTAAGCAGGTCGTGCATTTATATGCGTAGATGTGGATTTAGAAATAATTTATATAATGTAACTAGAAATACAGAACATCATAGAGAAGAACGAGACAAGGTGGTATTTCTACCTGTTAATGCTCAGCTTCGGAGTCCATGCTGACTCTATCTTTAAGCCAGTGTGGGGAATGGGTAGCCTTTTAAACAGAGAACTCCTTGAAACAGAGGAAGACCCTCTGACAGCTTGTCCATCAGAGGACTGAGTTCCCTGCATTTTGCATTGTGCAACAAAATATTGAAGCATCAAGCACTCTTGTACATTACAGTGGTGCCTCGCATAGCGAGGTTAATCCGTTCCGGATACAAGTCATCTGAGTTCTTTATTGCTTTATTCAAAAGGCTGTTTTGGAATAGAGTGGCCACTTGTATCCCTACACACATACACCAAAAGAACACCAAAAGAGAGGCTTAAGCAGGTCGTGCATTTATATGCATAGGTGTGGATTTAGAAATAATTTATATAATGTAACTAGAAATACAGAACATCATAGAGAAGAACGAGACAAGGTGGTATTTCTACCTGTTAATGCTCAGCTTCGGAGTCCATGCTGACTCTATCTTTAAGCCAGTGTGGGGAATGGGTAGCCTTTTAAACAGAGAACTCCTTGAAACAGAGGAAGACCCTCTGACAGCTTGTCCATCAGAGGACTGTAGCTCCCTGCATTTTGCATTGTGCAACAAAATGTTGAAGCATCAAGCACTCTTGTACAGTATTCTAGATGCTTCAGATGCTTCCTTCTGGTCTCTGTCATTCTCCTCCATCCCCCCGATCATTCCCAGTAGAGTTGGCACTCTCTGTCCACTGAATGCTGTTCATCAGGCTGTTTTGAGCCTCCATAAGCCTTCCTGATTTTGTATATCTGCAAATATTGGGGTTTTTCTCTCAGGTAGAGATGGTGCTTTTTCGGCTGCAAAAGGCCTAGCATTTCAAGGCTGAAGCGATGCCCATGTATACAGACCTAAATGTCAAGAAAAGATATATCTTTGCCTGCGATGAATGTCCACATGATTAAAAACCCTGAAAAATCAGGGCTCCTGATCATTGGGAGACACCCCATGTATACAGACAGTTCTGGTCTTCTCATTTAGCTCTCAAGATGTGGAGAGCAAAAGCAGAGGGGCACTTTCCCCACCTGTTTACTTTAACCATTCTGTACAACAAGCAGAGTTGTGTAAAGTAGTTACAAATACTATCGAAATTACAAATGTGTGTAATTTAAATAACCACAGGGTGCACATTAAATTAGATCACACATAAACACCAGCCAAGCCCACACTGATTTTATGTGGTGTTGAACGAAATACAATGAAAACCAGTGAACCAGGTAATTCCAGCCCTACGAATGGCAACGCCAGATCATTCGAGTCTCAGAAATGGCAGCAGGAGCAGACAACAAAGTTCTGCCCTAGAACCAATGCTAGAGGATGCTTCCCAAAAATCCTGCTTGGCTCAGGATACACCAGCAGTAGCCTCTCTT